AGTTTGCTCCTTCCATATGTCAAGAAATCTAACAAGAGTTCAATCACATGTTTATCGATACAATGAATACAATCACGAACTTCTCATACATGAACTCATCCAAACTCATGCCTACTTCCTAAGTATCACACCGGGACTCTGCAATGAATTCTCCCAGCGTCGTCTCAGAGAAGACATAATCGCTATTATAAGTCATTGCAGGACTTATAACTCTCACATCGACTGTCTGTTGTAGAGCAATGACTGAGATCAAGAAAGGAATGATATACCTCGGAAGTTTGATTAGATAATTCTGTTAGAGCGAGAATCATATGTGCATTTGATTTAGCCAATTCTGCGTCAATGTCTAGAAACCTTATTCTAAACGGGATCTCTCTGAAACCAAAAATAGAAAAGAGGATTCGATGAGAGAGTTACTTCAAGTATCTTGGAACTTCTTCCCAATTGATGTCGGTGCAGTAAAAAAAATTACCATCTTTAAGTAGATATGTGAGGGAATCATATTCTATGAAGTCGAATGCGAATTTAGATAAGACAAGAAGCATGCGAACGCGGTTCTCAATAAGGGATTTTCGAAAGAAAACCGCACATGGGTACTTGGGGAAGTGACGATGAGCATAGTTGCTGCTCAAGATGGAGTTAAACTCCTTGTTCACGCGTTTCAATCTCCAGAACTTCTGAAACAATCACCTTACATCTTCAATATTCTGTTTGTGAGAACCTGAAAGTCACTGAAATCCGCTGTCTCATCTATTACTCTTTCGAGAATCATTTCTTTGATTTCATGAGGGAGAAGCTCAAACGGGAATCGGTCATCTTTTTGGTCTTCACGGCCGATAGTTATCATACGACGTTCAAACGGGGATAAATTATGTTCTTCTTTTTCAGTTACTCTTTTTTTTGTAAGTTTAGCTATAATAGCCCCCATCACTTGTCAGCTTCACTTGATGGAAAAGGAAGTCAAGTGGTTTGATCAACTGACTCACCACAAGGAAATACGGGATATTCTGAATATGAATAGTTCACTTGAAGTATCAGCTTTGATCAGTTTGGTAATAATGGTTCATCATGACACAGAAGCAATGGTATTGTTCAAGTTTTACTTATTGTTCTTGACTGAGTATCAAAACATGGAGAGGGAAACTGATTATTGAAGTTAAGAGCTCATATGTTCAACAAACGTTCACAACTATCAGTCAAGAAACGGACGACATATTTCGGCGGTTTGATTTATCAACTCTCTGATGACCGGTATCATATTAGCAGTTGATACATAAGGTTCAATCATCACAGGGGCGATCACTGAGGTTCTAACGAGCTCTAAAACAGCTAACTTCTGAATATGGAAAAGAGAGTTCGATGAGAGAGTTGCTTGTAGTATCTCTTGAATATCTTTTGTTTTCATATTCTTATAAAGCTTTTCAGCACGGAGTACCCATGGATATGTGTAGGCGACTGCTCACTGGAACTTCTAATGAGAAATGAATCTTCTCAAAATTCATTTTTATAATCTTTCTGCCACTCGAATCGGTCGGATTTTTATAAAATACATTAACGATACGTTGAACCAACGAGGTGAGATACTAACAATTCCTTGCTTCTAAGGATACTCCATGTCTTAGGCTTTCATCTTTTCCATCCTAATTGCTAACTACATGTTTAGAAAGTTCATGACTGCCTTGGATATCTCTCTTTAGAAACGTTATAATCTGTAACGTCTCTGTTAAATCCCCTGTGAGGTGGATGGGGTGATATTGAAGGGAACGTTTTGTAGACAATATACTTTGGAATTTGGTGTATGAGACATAGGCGATTGTAGTTTGTAGTTAACGAATATAAACTTGAATTGAGAAATAATAGAACAAGAGAATTGCAGTCAAATGATGTCTTCTAAACTATCTATCCTTACGCTTAGCCCTCTCTATGCCCCCTTCCCCTCGAATGAATATACAAATCTTCATTAGAACAGCTTTATTATCAATAATTAAGTATAAAATCTGAAGTATATATATATATATATTTATATTTATATGTATAAAGTTTAAAAGCGTAAAAAAGTTATCTTTTTTCGTATAAAAAGTAAAAAGAAAACAGAAATATGTACATTATTTTTCAAACACGTTTAGTTGTTAACCAAATGTGAGATACCTGCATAGTTCTCTAATAGATGATCTGTTAGATGTATCAGTAGCATTTAAATATCATATTGAAAGGCTAAATATACAATAACAGTGAGTTGATGTTGTGAGAAGAGTGGATTGATGAAGGAGGAGAAATAGGAGGATGAGGAAGATCATTTCCCTCAACCATCCACATTCACACACACAGCTTGAACGCCATGCACGCAGTATACGCAAAGCGGTGTGTGTAAGCGGAGTTTCTGGAGACGTTGGGAATGGAAAAAAATGTTTTTTTTTCTTCTTTCTCATTTTTTTCATCTTTTTTAAAGTAAAATACTTTGTATGGATGGATAGATAATAAGATAATATAATAATAATAATGATAATAAGATGTAACCAAATAAACAAATAAAAATAAAAATAGAAAACAAAATCAGCTGATCATCTAATCATGCTCTACTGTAGTGAAAGATTATGCCCGTATGTCATAAGAGAAGAATATTTGAAAAAAAAAAAAAGTGATAGTGGCAGAAAGAGATCCAACATATGCAGGCCTTGAACCGTTTGTTACATTCTAGTTCCAGTTGAGATTTTCTTGAGAATGTAGTTATTCCAGTTCATTCACAAATTATTTTTTTCTCCGAAAGAGCATCCATATTTGAGCGCATTCTATGACTTGTCACAAGCTGTAGACACGGATGATTGTATAAGCTTTCTTCGAGAGCTTTCACGTGCTACAGTGCTTGGAACTGGTGATGTTGCTCCAGAAGAACGATTAGCTGTTGAATGTGATGATTTAAACCGAGTTGGAGTTGTTGGTTCTGTCAGACGAAATGAGCGACATGATTGAGGATTGGATCTGATAGCTGGTGCTACACTACGAGCCGAATTGGTATGTGCACGTCTGTTAGAAGCATTCAATACTTGCTGAGCTGATGGACCATGCTGAAACAATTGTTTATGAGAATAATTAATATAATTCAATAATTATACCGATGGGGATGTTGATCCTTGATTCATAGATTGACTCCTATTAAGTTCTCCTTCTAAGAAACGGACAACCTTATGCATACAAGCATCTTGATAATCATGAACCCATCTGTAAACGAATACAATAGTAAATAGAGTTGTGCTATAGTAAACTGACTTGACTCCGTTATACTTGGTGATGTGACGAACATCTTTAGGGATTTGATCTTCATCTTGAGGAAACTCAAATGACTGATCAAATATGGGAATGATATTCTTGTTGAATTGGAATGCACATCGGAGCTAGAATGCATAAGAATGAGAGGATCAACGATAAATATCAAAATTTACTTCTTTATGAATCCAGTCTTCACAGTTGTGATCATTCAATAAACGATCAAGTGAATGAGGTGTCAACACAAGGATGAAGTGTTTAGCTGCTTGAATGTTCTTAAGAAGTGATGAATCAAACTTTCCAGCATATAATTTGTCAACATCAATGAAAACCTGTTAAACAGTCAGATGAGATATGTTTGATCAGATGAGTACTTACCTTATATCCACGAAGTTGAAGTAAAACTTTTATTAAACTAGCTAATTGATTTCCTGTACTTCTTCTATAGCTAATGAATACATCAATCTGCTTGCTTAACATAGCCACTTCGACATCATCAGGATGTTTGGCATCTGAGAGATTCAAATCATTTGATGAATCAAGTTGAATGAGGATATTACCACGAAAAGCTTGTAACAACTTCAATCTATGGATAGGATTCATAATTCCACATGCTGTTTGCATCAGCTCATCAGTAAGGAAAGCTAACATTGATCGATTGATTCCACTCGAAAGCATCTGAAAAAAATGAAAATTAATAAAAGATTATAATAATGAGAGACTATAGAGTAATATGAGAATTAGAGAGTAAGAATGGAATGCTCACCTTATAAGTGTAAACTGATAATTCCGGACTTAGAGACATCAAGAGTTGATCAAGATTACTCTCATCAACCCCTGAATAATCTGCTGCTATTTTGAGACTCTCTAATTCACGAATGAATCGTTTTCGATGTAATCCAGACTGCATTTCGAGATCAACTTCTAGTTCACGTTCACTTAGGTGTAAGAGTAGATCTCCATCAACCATTTGCCTAGCAAATCGATCAACATAGTCCTCAAAGCCAATCTATAATTATATATATATTGATTATTGATTATTCTATTAATTTCCTACTTTTTTGACCCAGTATTGAACATCGTTTGTTGTCCAACTTGGAACTTGTTGAGCCAGTTTATATGGAACTTCTTCACCAATCACAGTCAAAGCTTCGCTTGCAAACTTTGCCGCAACTTCATCAGGAGAAGAAGCAACTTCTTTCAAAGCTTGAATTGCACCGATTTCCTGAAAATCATAAATTGTAATATTTCAGTTTTGTAAACCATTAAGGTTAGATGTCCATATATGTACATATATCATTGTAATCGATGAAAGAATCATACTATCATTTCATTCGGAGACAGTATAGCAACGATGGAATGATGAAGTTGTTAAGAATCAAAATGAGTTCTGACTTTTTCTTTTTTCTCAAAAAAAGAAGAAATGTTTGCTGCTCCGATGAGTCATGGGCAGCAAACAGTTGACCATTTTCGTGTGCATCAGCATCAGCCGTTTGAGATGGAAAAGAGTTTTCCTATTGTAGTTGTTAGAAGAATTCAGTTCATATACGTCTCATTACAAAGAGTGAGTAAGTGATTGAGTGTGAGAGTCACCCAAAAAACAAATTGACATACTTGGAAGAGCTAAGAAGTGCATAGGGATGTCATGTTATGACTATGAGCCTAAACCAGTTTAATTGGGGGGGGGGGAGAGGATGAAGAATCAAAGAAAGAAAAGGAAGGTGAGATATCCAAATAAGTCTAAAAGTACACTTAACCGAACTATGTTATCCATTTCGTCACATTTCGTAACTCAGGTATGTTTGTGTACTCTTAAAGAGACAAAAAAAATGTCAAATAGAAAGAAAAAAAAAGTGAGAGAAGGATGTTTGTGATCTTAGACAGATTGCATGATGAAACATTGCAAATTCCAAATAAAATTAATTATGATTATCAGATTATTGATTTCTCGTACTGATAATTCATTTCCCCCCCCCCCTCCATGTCTTGTCCCCCGTTTTCCAGACAGTGTCTCTATATGAGACTGTCATCATCATAGTGGGTGGTCTGACGAATGACATTGATGACCATGTGTTTGATCCCTTAAAAAGTGATGACAATTCCTATTTCATCTTCCCCTCTCTCTCTAGTCATCTTATTATTTCATCTTCCTCTTCGGTATCCCTCCAGTCCCCCCCCCCTCTTTCCCTGGTTTTTCTTTAAACTTTTTTATTTCTCACATACAGCAAATGATCACGATTTAAATGCCTTTTTTCAACATATTTCTCATTCGTAAATTGAACGACAACATTGCGAAATATGTCGAAATCTTCCTTCTGATGTTAAGATAAACAGCAGTCGCAGACACAACCCTATTGTGGAAAAGTACAGAAGAAGAAGAAGAAGATGACGATGGAACATCCATCACAAAAAGAACGAACTGTTTGGAGGACGGATGCAAAAAAATTGAGAAATATCACATGGAAATGTTTAGGAAAGCGTTTCAATGCGATCAAAACGAACTTTTTCCCTCACTCATCAGTCGTTCTCCCCCAACTTCTTTCTTTTTCTCCTTTTTTTTGGTTGAAAATCCGCCGTCCCTCTCTCTCTCTCTCTCTTTCATGAAGATGGAGTGAACGGTAAGAGAGAGGGAGAAAAAAAATTGTTGGAAATGAGAGAATGAGCGAGGAAATCCTATTGTACATGAACATTTAAGATAATATTCTCAGAACCCTATTGCAAAGTAGGAGATCAATCGTAGCAGTGTGCTTCAAATCAGACTTCAATAGACCCAATTCGACGAACAAACTAACGAGCTGAAACACGTTGTTCAGCGAATAAGACATTGACGGCACAGCGAGATGGAGAGGATAAAGTATCTCCAATTAGCAAAGAACCTTTCCGTGTATTTCATTGCTTTCCATTACAATCATAACTTTTCCATTTTATATGCTATGTGACTAATGTGTCTCCCTCGTCTTAATTCTTTTTTTAAAACATATAAGCTGGTTAGTGAAACAAATGAAACGGCTGGTCAAAAACAAACCGGAATCATATCAATTTGCTCTTCTCAAATAGCTTCTTCCCCAAGAAAAAACGGACACCGAGGAAGAGCTGGACTTTTCCTGACACTTGACTTGACCCTTCGGAGCAGTGATTTTTTAATTTGCAAAATGTATCATCGGAGTTGCTTTTTGCGAGAAATTCAAATAATTTAACAGTGAGACGAGAGAGAAGCTTAGGTCAGAAAAGCCGAAATTTCCTATGATCTAGCTAGGAAACACTCAGAGAAGCATGCTACTGCTGCTGGTGCTGCTTTTGGAAGAGAGAGAGAGAGAGAGAGAGAGGGAGAGAGATGGACGAAGAAAAAAAAAGAAAGAAAAAGAGAATGCAAAAAAGGAATGAGAAAGTATGAGCGATCAGGAACTACAAGATCAAAACAATTGGGAGAAAAGGAAAGAGGAACCGTCTTCTTCTATTCTCATTCAACTCTTCCAAACCTAATCATGATCTTCTTACAAAGCAAAAAATGTTTATTTGTTGATTTTAAGCATTAAAGAATGAATATTTAAAATCAAAGTATAACGAAATCATAAAATCAAAAAATTAAAACCAATTTTCAGATCTATGAAGTGAGAGAAAGGGGGTCACACACACACACACACACAATAGATAGATGACGACGCAAAAGATCAACCGTTCTGAGCCAAATCAACTTTCGAAAATGATAGTTCAACAGTACTTCCTGTGCCAATAACAATATGGAATTAGCATAAATCGTTGATTATTGATTGATTCAATTGATTATATCTTGAAGTATGTAAACACGGTCTCGTAATGGAATTTAGGAAAACAGGAAGTGGAAGCTGAATAATTAAAGTAATGCCTACGCTCGTGATTGTAAATATGGAGAACGGAATGTCAAGAATTTGCGTTATGACACAGTCTCATAAAAGATGGACAATGAAGATATGAAAACAGAAGATAAACCACTACCACAATTGAACCCCCTCTTTACCCATCCAATCTCTCTGTCACCAAAAAACAACAAAAAAACTTTTTTTTTTCTCCTTTATTACCAGACTCCATGAAAACAATCAAAAATGATACGGATTATGAGATGTTTTGATCATGAACTGATAGGAGATGAACATTGTGGTCCCTAACACAGATGAACAGGATGCGATAATTAACATAAACGAGAACTTGTTCCGTTCTGTGTATGTGTTGTAGGATACAAATGTTTCAGAAAGGCACATGTAACTATAAGTGGCGTTTTTCCATTATTTTTTATATTTTCCACAAAAACAATCTGGGCAGTTGAGTTGTGTGTGTGTGTGTGTGTACGTGCGCATGTGCATATGCAGATAAGTTGAAAACATGAGTTCCATAGATGGTTCATTTTGTATTTTCATCAATGACCATTTCTCTTCAACCCCCCTTCTATCCTCTTTCTCTCTCTCTCTCTGATTTCATTTTCGACAATGCTTACGTTGATAGCTAGAAATCAACGATTGTGATGTATTTCAAATGTTATATTGAAGTTTACATCACTATTCTTGAAGCATTACATGTTCTTCAGGGTTGCGAAATGATGAAAGTGATGGAAGTATAAGGTAGCGATATCTAATATATATGATATGACACTCAATACACAACAGTTTATTTGATAAAAGAATGTAATTATATTAAAATATAATAACTATTCTCTCTTTATCATTTTAATGAACGAAAAACAAAGATTATGATTGTTATCATTTCAACATTTTATCTTTTTCGTTCACTTCGTCTTCTACTACCCCCCCCCTTAGTTTCGTTCAACTTCAATGTCCCTCTACTTCGTCTTCACCTTCTTCTTCGTCTTCGTCTTCGCCTCCTTCCTGTTCTTCTTTTCTTTTCAAAAAATATTTAGTTGAAGAAGAACACATGAAAGGCAAAACCGAAAATGTTAAATTAAAGATCTCCTAAGAAACTATATGAAAACACCTACGCTTAGGACAAATATGAAGAAGAAGCTTCGTCGTCTTCATTGTCATCATCGACGTTGTCGGCACAACTGATTCATTCCAGCTTATTGATACCGGAAAGCTTTAACTGTGTCGTTGCTTAGTGCGTGGGAAATGATATAAGACACGTGTATTGTTTTTAATTGTTTCAGCTTATCTTCACTTCTCTTCTTTCTTTCGCTTAACATTCTGTTCAGAGAATGTGTGTAAGCATGATAAAGAGGTAAAGGAGCTTTGTAGGAAGAGAAAGAGAAAGAGAGAGAGAGAGAGAGAGAGAGAGCGATGTATGGGTGTTGAACGAGAAATTGAAATGTTGCAAATGATGCAGTACAATTCCTATTGACACAAGTTTTCTTGATCATTCACAAGAAACCTTTTACGTCATCTTATACTTATGCTGACGACAGCTTATAACGAAATATGCTCTTATCAATTCCCATCAAAGAACTTCTGTAATGATCTTTTCTACAAACAAAATCATTTTGTTTAGTTTTGGTCAAGTAAAAGATCAAAACAAGTTCGATCAAAGTCTGTCCCTGACAATATTCACTCAAAATCAACTTTAAAAGTCAAGTTATGAAACAAGAAAAAAGCAGAAAAGAGAGACGAGACGAGATGCAGTGGAGAGATGGCGAAACATCATTCTACACTATATCATGTATGAGAGAATATGAGAAAATGACAAAAAATTAAAACAAAACACACTTGAGATGATGGCCGAAGCCTGTAGTCAAAAGTTTTTTGAACGGAAAACGGAATATTTCTTTTCGTTTCTCAAGACTTCCGAATATGGATCATCATCCTGAAGATGTTTTGTCCGGCTTTTCTCATTCATTCGCTCTCTCTGTCCTTCTACTCAGAACCGCTAACCAAACACAATGAGAAAGCTCAGAAGATTTATATTTCATTTCATATTTTAATTGTGAAATATAACGAGGGAAATCAATGACAGTCTTTCATATTTTTTTTGTTGTGACATATAAAAAAACATATCCTGACTACAATGATAAGCAGCAGAAGTGATCGCTGACGACGACGACATCTATGTCGACGTCGACATTGACGTCGACAATGCTGATGATGAGGACGGTATAATGCAAAACGGGGTGAGAGAAAACAGTTTGAGAGAGACAAGTTGCAGCAGATTTTCAAAGATGACGTGAATCATCATCATCACAATCCGATGCTCTGATTTTGATTCTTTTTTTCCTGTATTCAATAATGGTATAATAATATTAAT